CGTCACCCGGACATTGGCTTCGTAGTTTTAGTACAGGGGAAACAGTGGCCTACCTTTCCTTGGCGCGGGCATGATGAAGAACTTCAATTCCCGTCATGCCCTATAGGCTATAGCAAACTGTGGTGACATTGCTGGCTGATGGGACAGATAAGGGGAGGAAGGTGGTTGGGACTGTTCTGAAATCAGTGCAGGAGTTCCCAGGCTCAGTTCAGACTAGGGCATTTCCGCCCTTCAGAGCTAGTCGGCTTGTTTTAACATTTCTCCCTCTCTCGCCTGCAAACGTGAATATAGTACATTTGGTGGTTACAAATTATGTTCGGTTTAGTTTTGTGGGTGTTTTTTTTTAATTTGAAGAAAGCATTCTGCCATTAGGAACCACACCGATTATCCTGCTGCATGTCTTACCTAAATCTAGCCACGCTTGCTATTGTTATTCACCTGCTATTGTCAATTGCCTGCTAATAACAGTCTGTACTCTTTGAATTTGTTTAATCTGCTTTTAAGAAGAAGGCTAAACTGGAAATGCATAGTTGGAAGGAAAGGATGCTTTTCTCCCAACTGAACTTTTAAGCAAAGGTTGGGCTTGTAAACGGCCTGGTCACCTCTGGCGAGCAGCAATCTCCTGCAAGGTGAACAGGCAGCAAAGCATTACGAAAGTTAATTTGCTCTCTTTTTTTGTGCGCCTTAGTTGACCCACACATCTATGGGTAATATCAGAAAGCAAAAGAGTGAAAAGAACAAGGCCGTAAAAAAGTAGGGAATTAAGCTTCACGCAGGCATTTAAAACCCTTTTTTAAGTAGCATCAGCCTGCGTTCCTAATAAAACTATGCAGAAGGAATATCCAACACCATCAGTAGGACTTAATCCATGTACAATCAGAGTTTTCCTGTGCAGAGACCATTTCAATGAAGGAGAAAAACATTCCCAAATAGGACTGTCACTCATTAAAAGCTTAGTTCACTACAGTCCTATGAGTCTTAAACCTGCTATATCTCCACGTGCTTTCTTCCAAACACAAACTAGGGTTCTAAAAATGTGTACTTACTTAGTTTTTTGATGATACAGCCTCTTATAAGAGGCCTTCCCTCTTGCACATGATAAAAAGGAAGAATGACTCCTACGATGCAGCTTTTGCAAGTTAGCGTTATTAAATGTTATTTTATTAAATACGTTTTAATTTGTTAGCTGTCTTGAATGGCCTTTGTGAGGGCAGAAAGGTGGGATGTAGATTTTGTAAAATAATACAAATAATATTAATAAATTAAAGGGCATCAATATTTAAAAGTCACTACCCGATTCATTGCGAGCCCCTTTTAAAACTGATCACAAGACTTCTGATCAGCTCGGTCTTAACAGAGTGAAAGGACCACATGTCAGCATTTGCTCTGCAGCCATGACGTACTGAGAAGCCAATGCCAAGGGAGGGTCTTTTCTCCCTAGGTGGACAACTCACCATTTCAGATGTTGCAGGCACTGAGTCAGAAGCCCCTGTGGATCAGGTGCCGTTTCCCTACTCCCTGCATCAAGGGGTCTGGTCGAAGGGAGAAATGCAAACCCTTCAAGTAGGAATACTAGCACTACAGAGTATAATCCTCATGGTTCTGGGTGTCATGTGATCCCAGAGACCCAATCCTGCACAGCTGTCTAGCTCTGCAGTCTTGAAACCAACCACACTCACTTAAGTCTCAGCAACTTGCTTTCGTTGTGAGGAGCTTGATTCTGCAGCTTGCCTTGACCTGACCCAGGGCTCACCCGTTTTCACCAGCATGTGTAGAGTACCCCCACTTACCCATGAACAAACATACCTCAGTGTCACTGGGATTAGCAATGGTAAAGAGGAAGATAAAGAACTACCGGACCTCCCTGTTGGAGAGGGGCCCCCACCCCAATAATTAAGGCCAGTCTGAATCCTAACACTACTAACACATGGCGTTCTGATTGGCATCTCCTGTACCCAACAGAATGTGCCAGTCAGTGCCAGAGAAACACGGAGTGCATCACAAGAACTTCACAGGTGAATCAATCTTGACACACAAGTTCAACTTTTTCAGTTAACCGGTAGAAATTTCAAGATGGGCACCTCTCTAAACTCCTCCTCCCTCTACAGCACCTCCTACCAATACTCCCTCTAAACTGTTGAGTCTTGTGAGCAAAAATTCTACTTTGTGAGCTACTGACATTAAAGTTGTGAGGGAGCCATTTGGCTCCCGGAGCAGATCAGGGCCCTGTGGGACCTTTTGCAGTTCTGCAGGGCCTGCAAGACGGAGCTCTTTCGCCAGGCATTTAATTAGGGGCCGGCGCTACTGCAGGCCGCTATTGCAGGCCGTTACTGCAGAGCTCTGGTCTGTGGTTTTAACATCCAACTGATTATGAGCAGAAACATCGTGGAACATCTGGGCAGTGGAAATTTACCCTGACAATATACTATCTAGGTTAATTTTTAACTGCCGCCAGCACTTTGTATTTATATTGTTTTTATTTGTGTGGTTAAATATTTGTGTGATTTTAATGTATTTATGTTTTTATGGAAGCCGCACTGAGCCCGCTTTGCGGGGAGGGCGGGGTATAAATTTGATAATAAACAAACAAATAAATACTACATAAATTCGTTTGCTCTGCAGCCATCCCTTCCTGAGGAAAAGGTGTGAGCTAAAAAACCGTGAGCTAGCTCACACTAACTCAGCTTAGAGGGAACACTGCCTCCTACCCCTTTAAATTAATCACTGCCATTTGGACAAAACGGGAAGGGGGAAAAAAGTCAACTTCTTGGGCAGACTTCCTCGTCTCTTCAACCTGTTTCTTGCCCTCTTGGACTGACAGGGCGCTGGGCAATCGTCCCCCAGCCTCAATGTGCCATCTCTGCCCCCTGCGACATGGGTATAAAGATGCTCCTCTACTTTACTGGAGTATTGTGAAGATTACACTGAGATGATGTCCAGGAAACGCTCTGAACACTTGGAGCTACTACTACTACTACTCAGAAAAAACAAGAGGCAAAAAAGAGAGAGCCTGACTGATCAGTAGCTACCGTGTTTCTGGCCCTGCACTTTCCCCTTCCTGCTCCTGGTTCCTGCCTAATGGAGGAGGCAAGTCAAGCAGGAAGGAGACCCCTGGGCAAGAACAGGAAGCCCAGATTAAACGATCTGTCCTAGGTCAAGGGTTACTCATAGATCAGTTACCACTAGAGGCAAACGGTCAGGACCTAGGAAGCCATACAGTTTCAAGTTTTAACGCCTCATCTCAGTTTTAAAAAGTTTCGGCCTCACACAATTTTAAAAAATTCATTTATTTATTTTTTAAATTACAGAAACAAGGGTCCAGGGACATCACATTTCTCAGGGCTTGCAGCTGAGCAAAACATTATTATCATTTATTAATATTATTAATATTGGGAGGGCACAAACTATGTAATTGGGAAATTGAAAGGGAGGTCTGGGAACGTGACCTAGACAAACAATGTTCTTCCTATCAATGAAACTGAACTCTGCAAAAATCAAAGTCTCTCTCTCTCACACACACAGACCCCCCCCCTCCTGTGTGTCTGAACAGGGCAGAGCAAACAAAGTAGAAATAATTTTTAAAAACGCCATTAGCTTCAAAAGCTTACAGTAAGCAAAAATAGACCTGTCCCAAAATATATTTCTACATGCTTTTCAGTGCATGCACCCCTTTCTATTTTTAAAAACATACACCATTTTTTGGTCATAGTGCCTTTGTCCAAAGAGAAAGTGACTAAAATGCAAAGTTGGTCTTCTCATGAGCTTGCCCTTTATAACCGCTTGTCTATAATTAGAAAGGGGGGGGGGAGAGTCAAACCAGGGAACAGCTCTGCAGGAAGCACCTCAGCACCCCTCTGCCCTGTCTGATCCATGTGATGTTATGATTAATCCTTCAGAATGACAGCCCCCCCTACCCCCTAGTCACCACACAGTAGCCCCGTACAGCCGCAGCTTGCAACAAGGAGGAAAAACCTCAGAGCCCAAGTTATTCAATCCAATTAAATCCATGACTCACGATCACAACGACTTTCTCCCTCCGCTCTAACAACCAGCCGACATTTTTGTGCCAAAGAGATTCCGCGACGAGCAAGGAACGCTGAAAGGAGCTTGCTTTAAAATGGCCTGTGGAACTACCACCGGGAAAACCTACTGCCATGATGTTACTGTTCCACCAAAATAGCAGGGAAGAAGGAAATCTACTTCCTGAGAGTCCCCAGCACCAGCACCTGCAGCACTGAAACAGAAGCTTCTAGAAAACTACAGCCATTAGTCCTAAACTGATCTTAATCTCCCAGGGATGGAAACCTCTTTCACTTTTTAAAGTAAAGCCATTTCCTCCTTGCCGACAGCAAGGGCCACCTGCAAAGGCATTTTTAAAAATATGTTTGTTTTCTTCCAAGTATCAGTTACCCAGCTCCGTATACTTCAAGGAAGTAACAGTCCTAAAAGAGCTGAGAAATAGGACAGAATCCAATATCCACCCACACACAGAAAGACAGAAAAGGTAAACCGCCGATGATCGTACACTGGGGCGAGCCCCGTACACAGGAGGAGAGAAAACCATCCGCCAGCACAGACCTCCTTATCCTCAGAGACACCCCACAAGAATTTGTTTTCATTTGGCCTTCAGTTCTGTTACCCACCTTCGGTTAGCAACTCTACGTCCAGCTTCAATGGGGATCCCCACCCCCAACAATGCCAGATCACTTTCGGTTAGCAACGTAACTGACATTCTCTCGAAATCTACGTCCAGCTTCAATGAGGATCCCCACCCCCAACAATGCCAGATCACAACGAAAATAGCTTAAAAACACACACATCCTTCCAAAGCAGTGCCCCGAAGCTCAATTTGGATGCTGCCGTCTGTTCAGACCGCCGAGAGGCAAGGGTTAAAAAGCATCGGCTTCTTAAGATCAAATGGAGGAATGCAGCAGAAGCATTTGAAGAAGAAGAAGAAAAACGACAGAGAGGCAAGTTACATAAAGTCTACTGACACTTACCGTTTCCTTATTGGGAAGCAACTCTTTTCGGATCCTGAAGAAGTTTTTTCCATACTGACGGAGTCCTTTAATGAAGCGTTTCTGCGATAAAAGCAAAAACAGAATGTCAGAATGGGGAGCATCTCTCTCTTAAGAAGCAGGGCAGTTGGGGTTTCCAGTTTAGGGGCTGTGGGAGGGGGGGGGACATATTATAGATGAGGCCGCTGAAACTGGAAACATTCAGGCTTGGGCCTTGTGTCTGATCTGCTATCTGAAGATGACAGAAAGTAACAAAAGCAATGCCCTTTTTACACAAAAATTGAATCAGGTGCGAATTTTGTGCTGAAGGTTTTTTAACCTGCCGGTCCCCTTGAAAATAAACAACAGGAAGATGTATTTCCAGCCGACAAAAAGAAAGCATGAATCCGAAAGAGAGCAATTCTTCTTTGCAATTAAAAAGGGGAGAGGGGGAGTCAGCCGGGAAGTGAAAACTTCCGAACTCAAAGATCCCAGTTGCTTTGAAAGTTGAAAATATTCATTAAAAAGCTGAAGACTATAAAATCACTCTCTTCCAAGGAAAAGAAACACACTGCTTTGTTATTTTTTTTCTCTTTAAAAAAACAGAGGGGGGGGAGCAATCCAAGCTTGGTTTCAAAATCCAAAACTGACAGACTTCCTTTCGCTCTGGCAAATAATCCAGTTTGGAAAAAAAGATTTCTTTTAAAAAACGAAACTGTGACACAAACTCCCCACACACACACACACTTCTCCGTTGGCGTCTGCCGATTTCTTGGGTCAAACATTCCCCCCCAACTCCCCCCCTCACAAAATAACAAGTGGAGGGATGCAAAGAAAGAGAGAGTTAAAAAGTGCCGTTTAAATCAGGACCAAGGGGGGGAAAGAAGCTTGAAAAGGAGCAAAGGGGCTTCCTCTAGCAATTTGACGGGCATCCTGTTTGCAAAAGAGGGGGGGGAGAAGACCCCCTTCCTTCCCTCCTGGGGAGGAGGTAGATAGATGGTCCCCCACCCCCAGGGAAGTGGAAGGGAGGAAGAAGAACTCCAGAGAGCAAGGAACGGAGCGGCTTTCTCCTTTCCCTCTGCCTTTGGAAAAACCAGGAGGAGGAGAAGAAAGTAGGGGGGAGGAAAGCGCCGAGACCTGGAATCCTGCTCCTGCGTCTCCAGGTAGGGGGGCCCTGCGCGCGGAGGTGATGGCAGCGGCGGCGGCAGCTCTCGCCTGTCACCCGGGAGGCTCTGACACTACAAAAGGGGGAAGGAAGGAAGGAAGGAAGGAGGGAGGGAGGGAGGGAGGGAGGGAGGGAGCAGAGGTGGTGGCGGCGGCAGCTTAACATGTGATCTGGGCTGTGCTGTGCCGGGCTGAGCAGCAGCAGAGAGAGAGAGAGGAGAGGAGAGCCACCGGCACACCGCAAAAGGCGGCCTGGATCACCTAGCCAGAATCCCCCGGACTGGGAGCGACCCGGGAAGCCTCACGCCTGGCTCCTTTGCCACACTAAATCCCAACACCGCTCTCGATCGCAGCATGTGGACAGCGCTCTGGATCATTCAATGTACTTCTTCCTGTGTATTCCCGGGGATATTTACAACAACCCTGTAAGGTTGGTTGGTATGATGATTTTGCAGATGGGGGGAGGAGGATAACGAGGCTGAGGGACAGCCAGCCAGCATGAGCAAAGCGAGGGAGGGGGTGTGCGTGAGAACCTGTCAGAGGCAACATTTGAACGGGGGGGGGGGGGCATTATCCACTATGTCACACTAGCTCTTAAAAAGAGAGATGCTGAGGAGCAGGAAAGTAAAGAACAGTCGATTCGATTCGGGGTGACACACAGCTTTTCAGCCTTGGCCCCAGTGTCCTGTGATATACAGACTGAAGACTGACCGGGAGGTTTCTTGCTCACCTCTGTCAGGAATTCAGTTATCCAAGCTACCATCTCTCAGTCACAGCCTCTGCCTGGCAATAATACAGAGCCTTGTCATAATGCAAACACCAAAGAGGAGTCCTCTGGCACCTTGAAGACCAACATCGTTTTTTATTCCAGCAGGAGCATGCATGCACTGGAGCAACTGGAGCACGGTGCAACTGGGTGGATCTAATCACAGCCCCCACCTCATGTAGGAGGTATGAACAGACATACTGGAGGGTCAAGAAAATCTAATCACAAAAACTACAGGGGAGGGATTAGGTATGTTAAACTAGTTAACACCCACAATGAGTGGGAGAGTCAACAGGGCTTCAAATGCAATCCCGTTAAGTACAAAAACTAACTACAACAAAGACAAAAGACCAATCACAGTTAGGTTAGGATCACAGGCCTCTCAGCCCTCCAGAGTAACTGGTTGGCCACTGCGCGAGATTGGACACTGCCTTGAAGGATGCTATTCCAAAGTCCACACAAAGCCTGTCCAATATAAAGACCAATATTGTCTTATTCATTATGATTTTATCCTGCCCTGGTCTCATCCAGCAGGTCTCTTTTTAAGATATCTCACCTATAGCTAGATAAAAACCCCAAGCCCCGGGTTTTTTTGGGGGGGGGGTTGGGGGGGAGGGTGGATAGCAGGAGACCTCTTAATCAATCCCAATTCTCCCTCTGAAGTTCTTTTGTTGAAAAAAGGGTCACCTCGGGTCACCTGCAGAATGCCCTGGGAGAATGAGACTTTCTCCCACTGAATTCTGAACAGTGCAATTTTTAACTTCGAAGTAACACAGGTGAAATGCTTTGAACATCTTAAAGCACTACACAAACGAAGACACTAAGAAAAACTAAAAAGATCTCTCTCTATATATGAGTGTGTGTGTGTGTGCGTGCATTACATGATATATAGCTACAAAGGCAGAAACTGTTAAAAATCAGCATTATTACTCCTGCAAAAAATGTCTGAAATGAGGGAGGGGCACCAATATAGCCTCACTTGGGTCCTTAAAGGGGGAGTCTCACTCTACTGAAGCAACCGAACGGTCCTCACTGGCTGCATTTCCACCTAGGCTTCAATTTGAGAAAATCCATACTTTGCACACAAAAATGTATAACAACCTGAAAGAGCAAGTAAAGGTGTGTGGGGGATATTATCCTCTCAGCTGGCCCCTGAACAAAATGCCCTTCTGGACTAAGGAACCATACTTCAGCACCTGAATTAAAAATGTTCAACAGCGTAGCATTCAGACAAGAATAAAAGAACATGAAAGACACTGCAGACTGGGCCAACCTGAAAAATCAGCAGCGGCTGAACATAGCCTAACTCAAACAGGACACAGTATCTTATTCCAAGACACTGAAAGACTGGACAGTACATCCAATTACCAATTACCTTACACAGGGAAGCCATTGAAATTCATAAACATAAACACAATTTCAATAGGAAAGAAGAGAGTTTAAAAATAAATAGGGCACGGTTTCCTGTCCTGAAAAACACAAAATGCTCTACAATAGCACTACAGATAAGATTAGGATTTCAACAGCCAATCCATATGCAAAAGAACCTCCTCAGGAAAGCTCCTCCATCAGCATGTCACAGCCTGGGGAACGCCTACCAGATAATGACTCAGCCCTACCCCACCTTACCTGCCTACCATTTTTTTTCTCACCTTGATATAAAGAGTACTCCATCTTTCTGTGTTATACCACTGAGGATGCCAGTCACAGCTGCTGGCAAAACGTCAGGCCCTACAATGCCAAGACCATGGCCATACAGCCTGGAAAATCTACAACAACTAATAAAAAAGTTCAGCATTTTTCATAAAGACAGTGTCAGGGGGAAGCAGCGGAACAGCCAGATTCAAGTCCAGTAGAACCCTAGAGAGCAACAGGATTTTCCGGGTATGAGTTTTTGAGAGTCGGAGCTCAATTATCTCACAAAAGGGGTGCTGACTCTCGAAAGCTTATCCCCCGAAAATCTTGTTGGTCTCTAAGGGGCTCTTTGACTCGGATCTGGTATTTCACAAAGGCTGCATTAGGAAACCAACTTTGTTTATTGGCACCCAGGAAGGGCCAACGAGTCATTCCAATGTCTGCACAAAGCCCATCCGACATAAAATACTGACACTTATCTCGCCCTGCCTCTGAGGACTTAAAGGGCACTTCCTCTATCCTGCTTTTATTTTCACAATAACTCTGCGAAGTACATAGATTCAGGTGGGCAGCCATGTTGGTCGGAAGCAGCAAAGTTTGAGTCCAGGGGCACCTTTAAGATCAACCAAGTTTTATTCGAGGTGCAAGCTTTTGTGTGCACACACGCTTCCTCAGATACAACAAAATGGGAATTACCAGTCCATACCAGTGTTCCCTCTAAGCTGAGTTAGTGTGAGCTAGCTCACAGTTTTTAGCCTCCAGCTCACACATTTTTTATCTTATCTCAGGGAAGGACGGCTCCAGAGCAAACTAATTTATGCAGCAGCCAAATCGCTCGCTCACAACTTTAATGCCAGTAGCTCGCAAAGTAGAATTTTTGCTCACAAGACTCCACAGCTTAGAGGGAACATTGGTCCATACGTATAGGTAAGAGGGTGAGCAGCAAATTAGCATACAGCATAATGAAGATGTTTAACAGATGCAAGGACCAAGCAGGAATAACAAGCTTAAGTTTATACCGTTACCGTTTGTTTGGGTTTAATTCGGGGGGGGGGGGAGAACATAGTGAAGGAAATAAGTATGTCAAAATTGGAGATGGATGAGCAGTTGTACCCTTAACTGTGAAGTAAGAGAGGGTTGACAAAGAGTGATCGGCTCAAGGTCACCCAGTGGAGTGGGCACTTGGCTCCAGATCATTGCTCTACATCGCACCTAGGAATTTTGGTTATGGAATCCTCCACAAGATGGACTTTGCACCAACGGGGCTGTTGGTTTTCTTCTCTTTCATGGAACTGTGGGGGCTGGTTGGCTGTTCCAGGTGGCTCCAGCTAGCGAAGATGTTCTGAACTCAGAGATGTTTGATGTAAGGCTGGAGAATCATTTTTTAAACAGGACAGCAAGTCGATCGGGGCAACATCTCTTTGTCTTAAGACATGAAGCTGTCGCCCTAGAATCAGAGCCCAGTTTCAAAGAGGTTCTATAGCCTCCTAGACACTCACAGACGTTTTCTGCCTCCCAC